TTTTTTACTGRTAGTTTTATAACTCTGTATAWYCTAAGCCTAGCTGCCCTTCACACCYTTCTATTTTTACTCATGATTTTCAGCGTGTCAGAGATCGGACTGTACCTGAGCTGCTCCCCTCACTCAGCCCTCTGCTGTAGCTTTTGGGCATGTGCATGGCCACAGACTGCCGAGGTGATGAACCTCCCAGAGCTGTGAGACCTGAGGACTGGGAAGCAGAGCTGGAAGGTCCAGGAGACGGGCAGGGAGACAGACTTCCTGTCTTTAGCTGGTCGTTCTCCGTCTTCAAACTCTCCACTGTCCTCTATAAACAAAACCATAGAAGACAATCATGGTACTGAAGAATATGTCCAAATACCAAAGCTTGTTTAAAAGTAAATGCATGATGAAATTAAGCAAAGTAAAAATATTGCACAATTCAAGAGAAAATATAAGGAGTATATAAATAATGTTTACAAAAATGAATGTGATAAAATGCTATGTTATTTCTAAATTGTGTGTTAATGTTTATTAAATTTCTGATCTATAGATGATAGAGTAAATTATAACTGGTTTAAGAATTTGTATGAAGTCTTAGGGACAGGACTGGATAAGCTATTGCTTCTTCCTGTTCCCTTTTTTAACATGATATTTTAAATTATATGTTGTTTTACATTATATTTTGCTGGAAATTTTATGTTGTAGTTAAAGCTTTTTTTATTTGTTGTTGTGTTTTTCTCGTATTTGTTACATGTATGTACAATATATGTATGTTTTATTTTACTATTTTATTATTATTGTTTTTTTTTAATTGTTCGAAAATAAAGTACACAGTGCCAAAGTAGAAGATAAGATTACACATTTATCCCTACACATTCTGTGCATAAAAGAAAAACAAACCTGCATGTTGATCATGGCCTCCTGTAACTGCTCCAGCTGATGTGCAGAGGTCAAAGCCTCCAGACGAATGTCTGTCAGTTTACGCTCCTTCTCCCACAGCTCTGTACGCAGCTCTGTCACGACCTTATCGCCTCCCTCCTCCTCATCCCCTTCACAAAGTCTGGAAAAACACAAGTTTAAACAAGACAATTTTAGAAAAATGAAACAGCCATAACAAAAGTGCAGCTTTGGCTTTTGTAATAATCTAGTTTAACCTCTCCTTTTGTCAATAGACTCCAATTTGCTAATGTTATTATAAAATCTAGGTTGTGATTAGGTATTATTGTAAAAGCTCATTGTGTGTAAGGTTTACCCTGATGATGATGCAGAGGTTGAGGATTTAATCGACTGTTGAGGGTTATCTCCAACACTGTTGACCTTGGGAGACGAAGGTGCTGAAGACTCAGGWGTGGCAATCTCTTCGATGTCGGCGTATGGCCCAGCCTTGGCGCCCTTCTTGCTGAAAGCTTTGTTGAAGGAGCTACGCAGCTGTTCAGAGGATTAAAAACTCAGGTCAGAATAAGCTTTGAAAATTACTAAGTGAGCATTAAAACGATGACAAAAAAGTAAGCAAAAACCCTCAAACAGTGTGTTAAACTGCTTAAATTAGATGATACATGCATTTTTCAGCATTCATGGTGAATTTATCACAATAAATGTTACATAATAGTTGTTTACTTGTATGGACATTGTGAGTAAACAATGAGTGAACATAAAATGGAAGGTTGATGTAATGTAGAAGTGGTGTGTCCTCATTATTATATTATAAGATCAGATCATGAAACAGAGCCTTTAGATGAGCTTACAAACACATGGAGTTACAACTGTTTCACCAGTATGACTCACTAAGACATGCAGGGTGGAGACTCAGATTTAATGTTCTGTTAACTGGAGCGACACCACTCACCTCATACACCTAAATTTAAAAGGATGGGAGCATAAAGGAGAGAATAGAGTCATACTTAATACGCTATGTGAAACAACAAATGTGTAGAATCACTAACATGGAAGAGGATTTTTGGTTTTTGGATTTTGTTTTTGTAAGTTCAGGTTTTACTAGGGTTTCTATTGCAGTGGGTTTTTTCTTATCAAAAAAGCCTATTTTGTTGTAATTAAATTATTTCAGACAAGCAAAAATTGAAGACTAAATCTAAAAATCTAACCATTCACCAGGAAAATGCTCTGAATTTACTTGTATCAACAAGATTTCTAATACTGTAATCTTTACATTGTGAATACACTCAAATGTATTAAGTAATCAAGGTGGTCAATAACATCGAGACCTCTGTATTTTCCTTACCCAGCTCTTCTTTTTCTTCTTCTTGGCCTCCTGCTCCTTGAGACTTCCCATACTTGAGTGGCTTGTATTGCTGGTGAGACTGGAGATGCTCTCTGAGGAGTTCTGGCGATTGATCAGCAGCTCTGAACACCGAACGCAAAGAGAAAAGCTAAAACATGAAGAGGAAAGTCTGCTGTGCACCTAAATCYTCCTATACATCCATGTCACTTCCTGTACCTTTAGGTGTGATGTCTGGATTACTCAGAGCACCCTGAATGATTTCCTGGGCTTCTGTATTCTTGGCTTTCAAAATGTCAATGGTGTCCTTCAGTTCGGTGAGCTCAGAGTCCTGCAGAAGGAAAACAGTTTGTTTAATGTTGGCTGAGATGCTGAGGATATTCTGTGCGTGTGAATGTGGAATGTCTATGAGCTTTCAATAAGGATGCTAAACTGTGCTGAGGCACTGATGACAGCATWGATAATTTCACCACAGTTTTGACTGACATTTCATTTCTAATAGCAACACTATGTCACTTTAAAGCTTCTATTTTTCATAGAAAAGTTGAGTGCAATCAACTTAAATTATGAACATTGCCAGTATAATAGTAAAATATGCAATTTGTTCAGGATTTTGTTATTCAGCAATCCAAACATTTCTCTTTTTCTTATATTAGTTCAAACCGACAAATTCAGAGGCAAAGTAATCGATTAGCATCGTTACATCAGAAAACTACCTTTTGATCTGAGGAAACTGACAGTGTCTGCAGACGTGCAGTCATCAGAGCCAAACTCTGCTCAAACGCAGCTACCAGATTAGCCTATAAAGGGGGAGGGGGGAAAAAGCAGAGGTAAATCACACAAAAAAGGAACTTATGGTTTGATGGAGGGGGACAYGCAGACAGCTTTGAGTCACAGTAATCAAACTGTTCTGGAGACTTACTCACAGCACATAAACAAATCTGTGTTAGCTATGAGTGAAAGGAAAAGATGAAGTCGTCAACAACAGCTGTGGATGATGTCAGAGTTGAAAATAAAAATTAGAGTAATGGTATAGCTGCAGTGAGGAGCTATTACTATCTACTATAAGCAGCCTATTTCAGCATTTAGGCAAGAATGACTCCTGAGGTACAAAAACTATGTCATTTAGATCTCATTGCTGACAACACTGGGCAGAATTAGCCTGAAACTAGTAATTTGTTTAAGAAGAGAGAGATTAAAATTCATGGCTTCAGGAGTTAATTCTAGTTTGGCAATGTCAAATTGACAGCTATTAATTTTTTCCCTTTTTTTAAGATTCCCCTGTCTGTTATAGATTAATCACAACAAGCAGACAGTAACAATGGAAACAAGACAGAAAATGTGGAAACAGAATGATGGAAAGAAATGAAAGAAGTTAAACCAGCTGGAAATTCTGATGAGGAGCAAATCCTCAGGGTATTTTTGCCCATATGGTACGCATTTTAGCTTTAACCACTCAAATACAGTACTAGGATTTGAATAAATAGTTTTGTTGAATGTTTAAAAGACTTTAACATTTCCTGCATTTCCTAAACTATCAATAAACATTTTTTTTGTCTTACATTAATTCAAATACAGTCAAAAGGCAAGAGATTAATTGTACTGCTGTATTTTAGACAACATGGGTTATCACAGAGCTGCACCACATCACAACACCAATACAAAAGTTACTGTTTATCACCTGAAGGCACACTAACAAACCTGGCCTAGCTGCTACACCCAGTATCCAGAGTTGTAAGACAGAGGGAGGCAGGCAGGAGGCAGCAGTGAGTCCAGCCAAGAGTGCAAAGAGAGGGATAGTGGTGTTAAGCTTGGGTAAAAAAAACMAAAAGCTTTTGCAATCACATAAAGCTAAATAAATGAATTTAAAAATGCACAGTTAGGAATAATCAAATTTCCTACAGGTATTTTAAACTGACACCAACAGAAAATCTGGTTAGCAAATGTGCAAAAAAATTTTTTTTCCCCTAAAAAATCTGTACATGGTGAGACAGAGTACAAGTTCTGAGTTTGTGACACTTTAACTTAAAAAAATCATGCATCACAAGCTATACAGTGAAATAAACTAGAAGAAGCAGGGATAAAAAGTAAAATAATTGTCGGGTACAGAAGCAAAGGGTTACACATGAGTAAAAAGGTTTAAAGTAGACATATCATGCTTTTAAATCCTTCTTTTTCACATTTAAATCATTCAGTTAGGGTCTATATAAAGTGGAACTACAATGCTTTAGTCTGAATTCCTTCTAATTTTAACTTCACCAGGCCCTCTTTCACCTCTTTTCTGGTTTGTGCCTCAAAGCTTGTTTTGTTACGGTTCCTTTAAGGTGCGTCAAGCCCCGCCCCACTACTGGTCCACTCCAGTTTGAGAGAGCGGGGCTTATGTTTTCTAGCTTGCAGAAATGTTTTATTTACAATTTAATTAAAAGATGTCAGCAACAGAAGACTTGCCCATCCAGCCTTACATGTTMGAGCCAGAGTCTGACCCAGAACCAGAGTCTGACCCAGAACCAGKGAGGAGAATTAAGATGAGGAAATTGTAATTGGCAAGTCCAGACCTTTTTTGGCAGTTCTGTTGCAGATAATTCAATATAATAAACTCAGAAAACATCATAGAAAATAGAGAAAACTGAACAGGCTAAAAATATGACCCAAACAGAATATAAAGATATCTTTGTAGCACCAGGAGAGACTAAATTAAACTTCTCTGCACTCCTAGAGACTCCAAGTTCACAACAAAATGTATTTAACAGCTAAAAAAGTGGATTTTACATGATATGTCCCCTTTAAGGTTAAAAAGCAGCTTTAAAGTTATAAAGTTAGTTACACATCTTGAATCGCAGTCTCAAATGCTGAGATTTTATCCAAGTTTTCAAAGGATTTATTTCTGGACACCTATTATTTTGGCTACGTTCACACTGCAGSTCTTACAGTTTTRATTGATTGCTTTGAACTGTTTGAAGAAACTGGGAACTCCTCAGTCTTCGTCATCACCATCTCAGCAGAGAAGAAGACACRTCTTGCAAATGTGCTAACCCATTCTCATTGGATTGACACAGTTTCACACCCTTTTGCAAAGCAGTTGACGCAGATGTCATTCAAGAAGTCCAAACTCCCTTTTAGCCGTCAGTATGAAACACCAAAAGCACCTGTTTGACACTTCTTCGCAAAATTTTTCTATTTGTCGTCAGTCTTCAGGCCTGTGTTGTTCTCTTATACTCAAGTAATGTTATGTTGTTGTTGTTTTTTCCTCATCTGTCCTTGTGTGGTTTTTAGTTTTTCRTTAAGGGTTGTGCCTCCTCGGAATGTCTTCATGAAGATGATCCTTGCTTTGTGCAGGGTTCGTTCAGAGTCAGTGGCAGCATGACCCAGATGTTCTGTCTTCTACTGAATGGTTGTTCTGAACTGTAATTTCATTGTGCTCTGTTCAATGACAATAAAGGTCTAATCCAATCTAATCTAAAGGCCTACAATAGATTMTTATTCTTTATTGTAAAAGACTGTTTTTTATTTACCTAATTTCTCACACAGTAACGGATTTTATTTTTATTTCCATGTATTCTCTGTTGAAATACAACTTTTATTGATTGTTTTTGAGATGGTGATGATGAAGACTGGCTCCCAGTTTATTCAAACAGGTCAAAGCAATCAGTAAAAACTGTATTTCATTTGTCAGGCACAAATGTGTCATTTTGACCATTGTGGCAATGTTTAGGCCTCTGCGTTAACTGTTTTGAAAATGTGGTTTTTGAGTTGACGGCTGCATCAAAACAATCAATAAAAACTGTAATGCTCAATTCAGATTTTTTGAAAAAAAAATTATCTTTTGGTGTGACCTGCATCAGACTACAGTGTGAACTCTACACAGCGCTGATGTGACACACAATGCACAGTAAAGACGTGACTTCTCATTCAGCCAGCTTGTTTGTTTACAGAGTTAGCATGGATGCTATTTTTAACACGTCAAATCTGAAGTTGTTGTTCAATCAGAGCCGATTAAATAATTATCTGACCTGCTTGTTTAGTTCAGTGTTTATATCTGAACCTGCGTCTAACCGGGATGCTCCAGTGAAGCCTTTTATGTTTTGAACGAATCAGCGAGCTGGAAATAAAGTATCGACTGAGTAACTTTTGGATCAATACGCTCCGCAACCCAAGATGGACGTTATTATCCTACTTTCTACATGGAAAATTAAAAGTAAAAAGACAAAGCAACTGGACTTCTGTTTTGAAGCTGTAAACACATGGAGCTACAGATTTAAATAGCGTGACCTCAGGTTAGTGTCTTATTGATCCTTCACCCCCACCTCACTGATGAAAAAGTCGGATGGAATGTGACACGAGCGTTCACACTGCAGTCACTTTGAAAACATCAGATATGTATGCGATTTAAAACCACATATTGAAACGGCCTAGGTCAGATTTGAAAAAATCAGATTTGTCGCGTTCAGACTGCCATAAAAAAATTGGATATGGGTCAGATGGGGCAAAAAAAAAAAATCGGATTTGTGTCACATTTGCCTGCAGTGTGAACGTAGCCAAAGCCTTGGAGTCATTTCACTTTACATATTGTAGTCAACATCATAATGTTTGTAATATGTTAAAGTCCCTATCATGTTAGAAAAGAGATTAAAAGTGAATAAAAAAATACAAACGTTGGCAGAAAGCTGCATGGTCAGGTTGGCGACTTTTTCCTGGGAGGATTCCAGCTCTCTCCTCAGCTTGCGGATTTGCTGCAGACAAATTTAAAATCAGGTTTGGGAGGTGCAGACACACTGCCCATGAGACAAATCAGATTCTGGGTATGATAATGCAATGATGGACTGCGTCAAACACATTACTTTTGGATTATTTACAACCAGAAAATACAAGCAACACATTATGAAGGTTACTGCTCCACAATAATATTGAAAACCAACACAGCAAAATGCATTTCAAACCACAAGACAAGAGTATGGAGGAGTTTGGATTTTTTTTGTTTTGTTTTGTTTTTCATGCATTGAGGATGTTATGAAGTCTGACGGACTTTATTAAATGTTGGACAGGGGTGCTAAAAAAAACACACACACAACAGTAGAGATAAAACAAAATGAAATGGCTTATGAGTCCCTGAGATAAAGATCTTTGTTGTTCCAGGAGTACTGAAAAAGTCAGCTGATGACTGGACACATTTCAAAAAGTTTAAGAGACAGAACAAGAAAACATGTCAGTTTAGGACTGATGGCACACTGGCCTTACCTCTCCTTGTATCCTCTCCTCATTCTTATGCAGCATGGAGAGAGCAAGAGGGATAGGATAGAGGATCAACTCAAATGGCAGTAATAAGGAAGCTTTATCTCCATCATATAAAAAGGCCATCGGTTTCTTTTTTTTTAATAATTGATCATATGCTTTTTGGGAATAAACAGGTAATGAAACACTTATGTAGAATGACAAATGTTTAACACTTAGCTTAAACCCTAGTAGTGTGGGTAAATTGGAATGAAACAAAAGTTCTGTGTTATTATAAATATGTAACCTGGTTAATTTTGTGTAGTAGAAACTCAAGTAAAGTGTCTGTAAACTGTAAGCCTAAATTGGTAAATTTCAGGYAACTTCCAGATTAAGAAGATATTGCTTTGCACAAAAAAGTGGATAAAACTCACCCCTGAATAGTTGGATGAAGCGTTGGATGCCAAAGAGAGAACAGAGCCATGCACTAAAAAAAAGAAAAAAAATTAGTTGAATCATTTTAAGAACAAGCAATTGTGTTTTACAAGGATGTTTTCCCACCAAGACATACAGTGGGGTACGAAAGTTTGGGCAGCCTTGTTAATTTTCCTGATTTACCTTTTATTAATCATTGATTGTTTGGATAAAAAAATCAGTTAAATATATCATGTAGGGGACAAACACAGTGATGTTTGAGAAGTGAAATGAAGTTTATATGATTTACAGAAAGTGTGCAATAATTGGTTAAACAAAATTAGGCAGGTACATAAATTTGGGCACTGTTGTGATTTTATTGATTACAAAACCTTTAAAACTAATTATTGGAACTTAAATTTGGTTTGGTAAGTTCAGTGACCCTTGATGTCCATACACAGGTGACTCCAATTATGAGACAGGATYTTTAAGGGGGYCAATTGTAAGTTTTTATCCTCTWTGCATCTTCTCTGAAAAGTTGCAGCATGGSAGTCTCAAAACAACTTTCAAATGAGCTGAAAACAAAGATTGTTCACCATCATGGTTTAGGGGAAGGATAAAGAAAACTATCTCAGAGGTTTCAGCTTTCAGTCTCCACTCTGAGAAACATTGTGAGAAAATGGAGGACRACAGGCACAGTTCAAGTCAAGGCTGGAAGTGGCAGACCAAGAAAAATCTGGAATAAACAGAAGTGAAGGATGTTGAGAAGAGTCAGAGTCAACCCACAGACCAGCACCAAAGACCTACAACATCATCTTGCTGCTGATGGAGTCACTGTGCATCGTTCAATTCAGCACACTTTACACAAGGAGATGCTGTGTGTGAGAGTGATGCAGAGGAAGCCTTTTCTCCGCCCACATCACAAACAGAGCTGCTTGAGGTATGCTAAAGCYCATTTGGACAAGCCAGCTCCATTTTGGAATAAGGTGCTGTGGACTGATGAAACTAAAATAGAGTTGTTTGGGCAGAACAAGGGTCGTTATGCATGGAGGAAAAAGAACACAGCACTCCAAGAAAAACACCTGCTACCTACAYTYAAATGTGGGGGTGGTTCCATCATYCTGTGGGGCTGTGTGGCCAGTACAGSGACTGGGAATCTTGTTAAAGTTGAGAGACGCATGGATTCCAYRCAATATCYGCAGATTCTGGAGACCAATGTCCAGGAATCAGTGACAAAGCTGAAGCTGCTGAAGCC